TATCTTAAGGGGAGAGGTTTGACAATGAAGGTAAGGTAGAATCTATGTCAGACCAAGTGATCCAAAACACTTCAGCCTGTGCAGGTTTTGGAAGCATAATTACAAGTGATAAAAGTATTTCTCTCCCTCCAACCTCTAGTTGGGATGCTAGTCTGTTGCAGGGTACAGTAAGCCCTTGGCAGCATTGAATTCTCTAAGTACAGGTACCAATTGTACACCTGGGTGGTGAGAGGCACTGTGAGAGTTAAGTGTCTTGCCCAAGAACAAACCAAAGACTGCTTGATGCGCAGTCCAATGCACTAACCATTAGACCACTGTGCCTCTTCAATTTCCTCAATAACAAATTCTTACTGTAAGTACTAAAGAGCAAAAAGCCTAATGGTTAAGGAAGTACTGATATATAAAGTGGAAAGAAACTGGTCCCTCCTCCCATGTATGAACATCCATCAACAATGGAACCCCAGGCATGGCTAGGTTATTTCCTCACATACAAGTAACAATAGATTCTTGGAATAGCTGAAGAACATTGAAATAACCACTTCCCTGTTCATTTCATTTTTGCCTTCATTGTGTTTTATTATTCCTAGTAAAGATGGCAAAAGTGATAAATATATATTAACAACCACTCCAACCAAACACAGAGAAATCATGACTCACCTTATACCAAGTGAAATCTAATCTAAATGCCTCAAAATGAATTCTTTTTCCATATAAGTGACAGTACATAGACTTTATTGTTGCCTCTCCATTTTCTATCTGGTAAGAAATTGAGAAATACATGTAAAAATGGTTTTAAAAGTATTCAAGCCTTGTAAGCACTGGGAAAACTGCAAATATGAAACAAGAGGCTGCAGTGTTAAAATGAATAGTATAACAACAGGACAGGGCAAACTTTGTTTACAGCATGCAGATAGCAACAACTACCCAAAAGGTTCCCCTCCTCAATTTGCTTTAATACTGCTGCCTGGTTATACTGCAGCCTGGTTGTACCGCCACCTGTTTAGCTCAGTTGGTGGAGCGCCAGACTGTTGTGCAGGAGGTTGAGGGTTTGAGTCCCAGACCGGACCAACACTCAGGGTCTTAAAATAACTGAAGAGAATGTGCAGCCTTTGTCATTACATCTACAAATGGTTAGATGTTCAAGTCTTCTTGGATAAGAACTATTAATCATAGGCCCGTCTCCTGCATCTTCGGTGTTACATGGTTAGCAGGGGACAAAAAAGAACCCAAACACTTATTGCGAAGAGTAGCGCATGTAGTTTCCAGTGTTGGGGTTTGGCCTTGTCCCATGGGTTGGTGCTTCACATGAGGTTAAACTTCATTGCACTTTTCCCCCTTGGTCAGAATTGTCCAAGAAAAATTACTATTTCTATGTAATACACCAATAATCTTGTCTACTGAATGCAGAATGTATGCTGGAAAGATAAATAAGGCTTATATAACAGTCATGCAACTAGCATTTACCTGTCATACAAACTGCTGAGAACCTTTTTCTACTACAGAGCTGTCATTAAAGGTGGGTAGCTGCAAAAATATTGCAAGACATCCGTTTCAAATTTCTGAGTTGAAAAAAGGATGCATTTCAAGGAGTTTAAATGTGTTTACCTTTCTCATACACAGTGGGAGCAGCAGAGAAAAGGAGATCAAAGGGTCGTGAAAGGCCTGGGACATTTTCAAAGAATGGGATCCCAGGCTTCCACATGCCAAAATGGTGTCTATGATGAAGAAATTGTAATACTGATGAATTTTCCTATTAGGTAATCATGTATCGTTATGTACAATATTGGAAGTCACTGACGTAAACCAGTTATTGGGATCATTATCAAATCACTATGCACAGCAGTCATTGCTGAGTACGTTTTTTGCCCTCAGCTGAGTCAGCAGAGCATCATTAGTTCTGTGTCTGCATAATTATGTTGTAAGAATTATGAATAGGAAAGATTTTCTGATTGAGGCTGCTGAGCCTTTGAGTTTAAAGAATGGTTGTTAAACAAAAAATGGTAAATACGGTCAGGTTTGATCATGAACCACTAATGAATCTGGTAAATGTACTAACCTCCTAGTGAGAAGACTGTGTCATCCAACCGTCAGCTTGATAGTGTTCAGGCCTTTAACAGTGCAAGATTCAGACCTTGATTTGAGTCAGGTGATTTGTTCTCTTGGCAAACATCAGAAACTGTTGCCTGCTGGCTTTAAGATGGGATCATTCTCAGTACTTATGGTCTCAAAAACTAAAAGTTCTTTTGGATATTCCCATAAGAAAATACAATACTGTATTGAAAAATGTGTAGACTATAAAGGATTTGTGAATAAAATCTTAAATAGGTTAAGTTTTAGCAGCTGAAAATAATGGCCCACGTGCTGAAAATTCACTGAGAACAAGTACATTATTTCCACAGCTGCCAAATTGCACCCGTAGTCAAATATGCAATCATGTTACCAATCAGAAGGGGGCTTGAAGACTAGTTGTTGTACAACCAATCAGTCAAAAGTCTGGAATTTGGACTTCGGGTAGACGATTCGCGATTATTTAATTGTATCAGGCATTCCTCTTTCCTCCTTCCCTCCTTTGGCAGAGAAAAAAAAATGCCTGATCACAGGCTACTTCCAAAAATATACCCAGCTATTTGCTCTTGGACACTATTTGTTATGAAGAACGACCTTAAAGAACCCTAGTCAGCCTCTATCAAATGCTATAGTTCACCACTAAATTTTCTCTGATTCTTAAATTGGTTTAAATCGATCAAATGGCGCAATAGCGTTCATCCACAGAGAGACACTATCAGCCCATAATGCCCATCCAAGGAAAACACCCAGATGGATAGTACTCGTCCGTGAAAAATTTTCTGTAAACAAGCAAGCTTATGAGAAAAATAAACAATTGAAATTGTATTAAGTGGGTTTTGTTTATTTTCCTCTTTAAATTTTACATTTAGCTTTCACAGCTTTCATCTAAAAAAGTTGAAAATAATTCAATATGATTTTTGAACTGGAGTGCGGAAAAAAAATTTAGTGGTGAACCATAAAGACAATAGAGTGTTCATGTCTTGGAACTATCAGTCTGATAGTTGCCCCTTGGAAATTTAATGTTCTTAAAACTAGCATACTTGCCCTCGAAGCTTCGTATCTCAGGCAAATATTTGTTTAAAGAACATCAAATTTCTGCAGAGCAACTATAAGCTGATAGTTCCTCGACAGAAACACTCTATTGTTTAACTAGTCAGATGCTATCAAAATTACTGATGAGGGTCCTACAGGGTGGGGGGATCTCTGGCATGATTCACGAGTGGAAAAAATAGCAAATCACAGATCACGGATATCAAAACTTCATTTTCTCGAATCACAAAAATAAGCAAGTAAGGTCATACCTTTTTTAAAACCTGCTCTTATGCTAGAAAGAGTGCTTAACGAAAGCAAAATTGTGAAAGGCTAAGTAAAGGCTCATTATTGCAAATCACCTGGTTAAATCACTTTCAATAGACTACTCTAACCATTCGAAGGACTCTCGTCTCAAAATCACGAAGAATAGTAGAGTGGTGAAATCAGGAATATGGTACGTTTAACTTAGTAATTCAAGTTCTTCACGGGTCACCCAAAGCCTTCAGATCAGAGATCATGAAGAATCATTTCTTAAATTCACAGAAAATAAAATCAGCTAATCACGCATCACGAGAATACCCCTGCACGATCCTTATTGATATTGCATGGTAAAGCATGCTGAAGTCTTATTGCTTTACTGTAACTTGTGTTACTGAAAGTATGTTAAAATAAATATCTTTAGTAGTTTTACAGTGATTTCCTTCGTTTCGACATGTTCCCAATAAAATACAATAGCCAAATAAATATACCATATAAAATAAACTCTTGCATGTAAACAATCACAAAAGTGAGGCTGACTAGAGGCCTTAACAGGACCATAGTCAGAAAAAAAATTATGACTGGGGCAACTGTCAAAGACAAAAATATGACTGAGGCAATTTGCATGATTAAATACTTTTCCTTGGTATTTAGGGTGTTTATGATCACTATAAACAACAGAAACGAAACAAATGACTGAGCCAAGTGCCTCAGTTAGCTTGTGTACTGGCTGGCGGATGTGTTCACATTAACCTCCTAAAAACGTTTCCTTCCACTTGCATTAACTTCTGCAAGTTGATTTTCAATTTGAAGGAATAAATCTTACTTAGGATAATATAAGAACGAACCACAGAAGAGTAAATAAAACCTGAAAAAAAGCCAAAATATCTTACCTTTCACGAAACGCCCGCCACATGTTTAAAGACATCATGCTGGACACGTGATCTTAGATTGTGCTTTTGGTGTATGATGGGATAGGCAACCGGATGTGACATCACGTCAACATTCAAGATTGGCAGATTGGCAGCTTATTGTTCAGAGATTTGATTTGCAGCTTGTCGACGGAATGTTTATGCGAAGATAGTCATGAAATCAACTTTGCTAATTGCGATCTTTTAAAATGGATACGGCTCAAAGACCGAAAACTAGAGATACTGTTGGTAATACACATGCTAGCTAATGTTACCCGAATTTTGTCATTTTCCCATTGTCAATTTGTCATTTTCCGATTTGTCAGCTTTCCATAATAGTGGTAAAATTACAATTTTTGGACGGCCTGTTAAGGGACAGGAATTGGGATATCCTCCGGGTGCTCTCGAAAGTCTCACGCTATCTGCTGATTCCACACGTCTGGATCGCGTGCTGTTAATTATAGCTAGCGGATCGTCCACACGAATCGATCATGTCTTCCTGACGAAAAGCAAAATAACAAAGGCAAAATGCATTTAAAGTGCCTATGAAGTAAAAACAATTGCTGCTTATTTGAAAAGCTTTTTAAACTAAAGAAGAATGGCGTTTTTCTTTTTGAAATATCTTTTTTCGTTTCAGAGATAGTCACGTTTTTGTATTTATAGTGATGACGTCATAAATAGTTCCACTTAAACAATAAAATACTGAATCAAGAATATCTCTAGAAATATTGTAGCAGTGTTCTTCAAACTTGTCACCAGTAATGTACATCACAAAAGAAACAGAATGACACCTACTATGTTGTTGCCATGGCAACACTCTTGGCTCCAGTCTCTTTGTGTGAAAAACCTTTTAAAGTGGGACAGAGGGTCTTGCTCGCAACACACATGGTTCCCATATTGTCTCTACTCTCCCCATTAGATTGTTGGGAGTGGATGATCCTTGTTTAAGATAAAATCTGGGAATTTTAGTTTTAATTAACACGGTATCAGCGGTATAACTGTTGTCATGACAACGGCAGGATGGGTGTCATTTTGTTTCTTTTGTGATATACATTTCTGGTGCCAAGTTTAAAGAACACTGCTTTAATATCTCTAGAGATATTCTCGATTGAGTGTTGTACTTTTTCAGTGGAACCACCTATGACGTCATCACTTTCCTCATTTACATAATACAAAAACGTAAATATCTCTAAAACGAACAAAAGATATTCCAAACAGGAAAACGCCATTCTTCTTTACTTTGAAAAGCCTTTCAAATAAGCAGCAATTATCTTTTTACTTCATAGGCACTTTAAAGGG